ATTATATATACACGATACGTTTGTTCTAAACTCTGAGTCAGGTAAGTCTCAAACACAGATTTGTATTTTTGAGAAAATTTGTGCAAAAAAATTTTTGTATTCAAGCTGATCATTCAAATTTCAAGACAAGAAACTCTGACAAAATATGGTAATGAAGAAATTGTCCACAACTACTGAGAAGAAGTTGACTGGTCATGTTCATATATTTTCCTTAGCTAGATTTAAAACCTTGTTGATATTAACGTGACTTTTCAAGGGGGACCTACAAATAAAGATGCGTGTTGAATGTTATAGGTTTATCTTAAAAACATTTCTTGGTGCCTACAGTGAACTAAACGTTATTTATCACATCAAGTCACTCCAGCTAAAATGTTCCTTAGGAATTTTTCTATCCATACACCCTATTATACACAGCATTTGCATTCACAGTAGAATTCATGCTATAAACAGCACAAATATTACAATTGCGATGACTTTACTTAAAAAATAAATAAAAACATCCTATTTGCCACACTAAAAATATAATAAAATTAAAGTATCAAAAATTTGTTTCAATTTGCACATTAATATTTCATTGTGTTTATTTTCGTTCGCTCTATTATGCAATTTCTAAGTCTGGGGAAACAAAATTTGATGTAATAAATTAAACAATTTAAAATGTACGAAACGTTTCTAAAGCCCAATTTATTGTGTAMATTATTCTAAAAATAAATTAGACACAAATAACTACCAGAAATACTGTGTTTACAGAGCGTCATTGATTAAGAACTCATTTTCCCATAAGCCTCTGCGAAAAGTCTGGTTTCTTTAAACGCAGCTGTCCAATAAACTGTGAGTCCTTCTTCATCTCAGCCAATAAGGACTCTGTTGCTATCACCACTTATATTTATAGTAAATTGTTCTGCACCGAAGAAGACGACAAACATCTATCCGCCGTATAAACTAGAGCCAGTGAGGATCGTTTGGGGATGTTACGTTAAAAATACATTTTATATAGAGTGGTGGTGAAAACAGCTTCTAAAAAACATTAATTTGCATTTTTTGCTGTACTTGTTATACAGAAGAGTACTAGCTAGCAGGTATGAGAAACGGACATTAGAAAGTAGTTCCTGTCGTCACGGGGGTGTGGGCGAGTCACGCTGTATAAATACGCCGGGCTGTCAAACAGTAAAGTTTAAGTGGCCCAAAGTGTCAGAAGAAGTAGAAACACCCCTGCACGTCGGAGAGTTTGCACAGTACTGGGACGCGGAGGAGAAAAACACGATGGTATTATGAAAAATATTAACCATCTCAACCCGTGACTCGATAAAAAAATATACATATATATCTCCAAGTCAGAGATATCGCATGGGAATTAATACAAAGACGCAGGAGCAGCGGCAAGTCCAGCTCAGATAGCACGTATAGGTGAGTAATTAAGCCTAACCTGGTGGAGAATGAGGGTCATTTATCCTAAAATATGTTTATTTCGTGCGAGTGAATTGACAATATCTTGGTGAGATGTCCTGGTGTTTTTCCATGACTGTAATGAATGGCTGTGCTTGCTCAATAACTGAATAAAGCTTTTGTTTTGAGTCATCTTCCTACATTAGCTGTGCTAAGCCCTTTTAAAGTTCATTTATATTTCTTTGTTTCTTAACGAGGCAGATTATATTGATGAMCTGCCTCATTGCTCATTTGCAACTTAATTAGCTTTATAATGTAATTTCCAGTGCCTTTTTTAAAGGAAAAGGTTTTGTTTCCCACTTGCGTGTCCTCTTTGCTCCAGTGCCTTTTAATCTTCCAGCTGCTCCCTCTCTATCTTGGTTTTGTCTATGCAAACAGAATATTGATGTTTGTCCTTCTGCTCATTTGTCTAATCTTAAGCTTTTTATCATTCCTTAAAGGCAAAACACATTGATAGCAAAGGGGATGGGCAAGTGTTTAAAATTTAAAGCTCTGTTAGGGGAAAACAGGGGTTAAAAAGGACAAATTCCAGCAATAATTTGAAGCAGGCCTCTTGAATACKTCTCATCTTGAATGCAATGCTTCAGAATGGTTTATTTGCAGARAAATATGTGCTGCTGCTTGTGCTTTTTGTCTTGCCTATAGCATCTTTACTGGTCAAACCCTGACACGCCGTGCTTGTTTTGCAGCACACTCTGTCCTCATAATGAAGCCTATGTAAACAAAAATAACAGCAGGGATCCTGCTGATGCCCTGACTTGCACCAACAGGCCTAGCAAAAACAAACAAACAAACAAAAACAGCCTTTTTTCAAATCTGCATAGGAAGCATTTAGATAAAAGGTAGACGAGGGCTTTTGTGAAATGCGTTATTCTGAAACCTTTGCAAACCTGAGCCGTTCCTTTAAATGTCACTGGATGACACCATCATTCTCCTATTTTTTTAATAACAAGATGTACCAAATGCAGTCCGTGCTTTAGCTGTCTGCACTCAGTGTTTTCACAGATGTTTCAAGTGATGGCTCCTTTCCATCAGCCTCTCCAGCTCATTATAATCAAACTGGTAGAAATGAATTTGTTCCACAGATGAGGCAAAAGGGATCCCTTTCAAATAAGTCCCCTGTCCTAATCTTCAATGTCATGTGAAAGTAAAATTCAAAGCTGGTCTCTGTGCTCCTGCAGCCATGCACCTGGCCTGTGCAGCTTTGCCTCTAATAACATTAGAACTGTCTTTAATCGGAGATGTCTTTCTAATCTTAGCTGCTGAATCGCCATCTGGCTGGAAGGTGAACGTGAGGAATTGTTTTCCCTCAGTGTGTGTGTGTGTGTGTGTGTGTGTGTGTGTGTGTGTTGCATGCTGGGAAGTTGTGTTCAATCGGTGAAGCCTCCTGCCATTTTCCCCTACTTTTTTTTAACCCAATACCACCGGAGTCGGTTTGTTTGCATGTAATCTATCGTTCGGTTCGTGTCTCCATGGTGACTCAGTCTCTAAATTGAAGCTTTGAGACVGAAGCACTTTGCAGGATCACATTTAGATTATACAGGATTTATGAAGCTCAACATTGCAGCATCTGTTCCATCCGTCAGTGCATTCTGCGGCTGACAAACTCCAAATTTAAATCGATTTATTTACAGTTGCCTGTTTGAGTTTTTCTATATTTAATTTTCTCTCACTTAACACATTCAGTTGATGTCCTTTGGCTTTTAAAGGTTTATACTGCCATTCTGTGATTTGGATATATTATGATTAAGCAGCTGGAGAYCAATAGATTAACAGTTTGCTTCTGTCTTCACATTTAGGACATCTAAACAGGACAAAAAGAACCTTCAACCAGCTGCCTCTGCCTCCCAGAGGCCTTTGCAATGATGACAKTAAAAGAATCGACCCCTCCTCAATAAACCAGAGGTACAGACTTCCTGCACCTGCGCTCCCTCCCTTTTGAGCACCATCGTTTGAACATTTCGTTCCCAAAACGACTTTCGCCTGGTGCAGACATGCATCTAGAGGTCAAGGTGGCCCTCAACTTCATCGTGTCCTACCTGTACAACAAGCTGCCTCGACGTCGAGCCGACCTGTTTGGCGAGGAGCTGGAGCGGATACTAGTTTCTCGCTTTGATGGACACTGGTACCCCGAAGCCCCTCTCAGAGGTTCTGCTTTTCGCTGCATCCACTTGGGAGTGCCGAGGGACCCGGTGGTGGAGCTGGCCGCCAAACGAAGTGGGCTGGACACGGAGGAGGTGCGCGCGAACGTGCCCGCGGAGCTCAGCGTGTGGATAGACCCTTACGAGGTGTCCTACCAGATCGGAGAGAAGGGGCAGGTGAAGGTGCTCTACCTTGAGGACCCCCCGGGCCTTGGTTGTGACAGTGAGAGGGCTGAGGGTCCGATGAATGAGGGTCAAGGGGACGTGGAGGCCGAGGAGGCCAAGAACCTCGGCTTTAACCCTGACGCTCAAGTGTTCGTTCCAGTTGGGAGTCAGGCGTCTCCTGCCCTGCTGCCGTCCCTCTCCAGCTCCCCCACACCTCTGTCTGCTCCTCCTTGTCCCGGYCTCTTCAGCTACCCCAACTCCAGCACACCCACAGACCCCGGGGTCCACTCCTCCAATACCTCCACTCCTTCTCCTCCCAGCGGCGTGCTGCCCTACCTCTCCACTCAGCAGCTGCCCTCCACTCTGGCTCCCACCCGCCCGCAGCCCATCACTTTCACCACCGCCAGCTTTGCCGCCACGAAATTCGGCTCCACCAAAATGAAGAAGTGCAGCGGGGCCGGGTCGGCAGCCGGCTCCGGCGTCATCGTGCCGCCGCCCCAGAGGCTGCTCTCCCACTCTCCCACCACCGTCTTGGCGCCGGAGCTGCTTAAGCACAAGCCCCTGTCTCTGTCGTTGCACTCGCTCGGCGGTCCCGTCCCCAGCCAGCTCTCTCCCAGCGCCAAAGAGTTCGTCTACCCAGGGTCCCCGGGCCCCCTTTACTTTGACACAGACACCCAGTCCACGCAGCCTCACGCCAGCCACCTTCAGCACACGGTCGGCGCGAACCCGACCTTCGACCCGTTCTCCAGCCCCCCCGCTCAGAGCGTGGGCATCATTGGCGGCAGCGGAGGAATCTCGTACATGGAGAAGCCTCCGTTTGTTGACGGTTTAGGAAGCTACAGTCTGCAATATCCCAGCCAGTCCTTCCAGCCCGTTGTGCTGGCCAACTAAGCCTCTATTTGTAATAAGAACTGGTTAAAGGTGAAGTTGGACGATGCTCCATATTTTCAGTTTTTCTAACAAGTTGTTCTAATGCTAACAAATGTCAGGAATTTTATTACAAAGATTAAAAAAACATATAGAATTTATTCTGCTGAATATTTTGTGTTTTTGAATTTATGATTTATGATCCCCTCGGTTTCACCCTCCCTGTGTCCAGTGTTGTTCCTTGTCACTTTCTCTGCATCATCATCAATAAGAGAGGGTGGGGGTGAGTTTCTTTCTCCTTGTTTTTTTTTTTTTGCGTTCTTGCTGATCACTAATTTTTGATGAATGTTAACGAGGGAGACATTTCTGTTCTTGACTCYCACTCTGATGGACTCAGCTACAGCTATAGCTCCATTTTTAACTGCACTGTCATGCTGTGAAACAGGACTTTGCCAAGTCCTGCAGGGAACYACTGCTGTGGAAAACTCAGCACTTTGCTCTGCAATCTGCTCTGCCCTACTTGCCACAAATACAGAGGAAGGAGGAGGGGGCTCTTTGTCTTTGCGTGCAGTCCTGCTCTGTTTTTGTCATGGCTCGATCGAGGGGCTGCTTGTTCGTGCGATGGGACTGTTATCTTTTAATGGTCYAACGTCGAAAACCAGTAATCGTTGGCGTGGAACGTTCGTGCCACCGGGGTTTAAGTGKTGCGAGAGCAGGAAGGGCAGCATCGCTGAGTTGGAACGTGACAATGAAGAATGTATCGTAGCTGCTAAGAAAAATGCTCAGTGTTGGGGGGTGGTGGGGAGGGCAGGTGTTGGAGGAAGCTTTTATGAATGTGATCGAATTGATTTTTTTATGCTAGCCACGTGCTGATACCTCAATCAAAACACGCAGGGAAATGACCGGACATTAAAGACGCTTCACACATTAATGTGCACACCCACAGTATTCCAGTCAGCAGTGTGTGAAGGTGAACAGGCGGCGAGGGAGGGGGGTGCAGCAGCTAAGCAGTAGGGATTGTGGTAAATGGCTTAGCATGYCTTTGACGATGGAGAGGTTTTTCCTCCTTGTAGAAAGGTGGGAGGGATGTTTTGTTTTTGTTTAAAAAAAAGGGAAGAAGGGAGAGAAACTTCTAGATGATTCTGTCGCCTTTGTGCCGACCAGGATGTGTTGGGCTTGAAAAGCAGCGCATTAAAACTCCGAGCACGTTCCTGGTGAGGTAAAATGGTCTCAAAGCCAAAGGCTTGCACTATTCTCTGCCTCTTCTTGAAATTCTCCAGCAGTCTCTGTCAAGCTGTTTGCAGAGAAAGGAAAAAGAAACAAAAACCCAAGTCCGTCTCTGCCCAGCTGCAGTGATGCGAACAAAGAAAATAAACTTTTCTCCAGGCGTGCAGCTTTTATRAGACAGCTCATCAGATATCTGAGACTAACGTTGTATATTTAACAGCCGGGTCGTCGTCGATCGGTCACTACAGTGGACATCCACATGTTCAGCTGTTCAGGCACTTTATTACTGATGTCACCACAGCCATCAGCGCTAAAACCCTCCTTTTAACCTCTGCCTGGTTGTTGCACATTTTTATTGTTAAAAATCACTTGGAGATTAACAATAGAAGCTAAAACTTCATTACATGGTGTCAGGATAGCAGAAAGGTGTCAGACCTTTTTATTCTTAGCTTCATAGCTGTTTACTTGAATATTTCCCACATTTGAAGTTTTATTTTGTTTTTCATCTCAATGAGGACCCCTGTTGGTTCTGTAATGTAACATGTTATTCATAACCTTGAACTCCTGTTTTTGTTTTCCCATATCTTCAAAAAGGTACGTTTCTTTAAAAATATTTTTGATAATTATTTTCCTAATTTTCTATATATTTTTTGTACTTTTTTTTTTCATTTCAGTTGAATGTGATAAAAGAAGTGGTGACAGGATTGTGTATATAAATTTAAATTTGTTTGGTTCTGATTGGTTTTTTTTCTTTACATCCTCGATTTTCTTTTTTTTTCTTTCCAAAAATGAATATGCAAAGTGAGACAAAATAAAGTTGTACGGAATAAAGTACTGAATGTGTATTGTACCTTTTCCAGTATTTGCCGAGTAAGATGGGTAAATATGAAATGTAAAGTTGGATTTTAAGACTTGAATGTTTACGGGGAGTTGTAGGAAATGAAGGCCAGTCCCACTCCCATATGGAACTGAACCAAAAATCCCCAAGTCCAGGTTTCGTTTTTTTTTTTTTTTTTAGATGATATTTCAGTCCTTGGATAAATTCTGATTGACTAAAGAAGTAAAACTTATTCAGACATTCCCAGTTAAATGGACTTTCTTTAAACTCTTTGTCCTCCATCAGTCAGGATGTTTTTGTTGCTGATGACCATTATTTCCACACTCTTTGCTCACACAGATGCTCGCCCCTCTGCAGTGCAGTCTAATGCCATAATTTTGAATTACCTCTAAAGAGCCAAGGGGTTTGGACCACTCCGCACCCCCAGAAAACAAAACCTATGCTTCTCTTCTGAAGGAGAGTCGCCGTAAACGACCAGTTTGAGAGGATGGAGGAAATGAGTGCGGTCTAACTGTTGACCTGCTGAAGATAAAAATCAAACCTGCTCAGTTTGTAACTAACTTCCATGTCAAAACAATGAAAGTTTGACTGAACTGACTCCAAATCTACTCGAAATGCAGACAAGCAGGGTTGAAAATGACAGAAAATGGAAAGATTTTGTATCCTGATGTCCTTTGCTTACATCGATGTGTGCGATTGATTTTGCACTTTGGAATATTTCATTGTCATAAAATGAAGTTTATTTTCTATGTAAACTTTAACATTTAAGAGTACAATAGATGTAATTAAGAGTTCAGATATATTAGTGCTTTGTTTCCTGCTTGTGTTTTATTTTCTTTTTCCCTATTTTGTATCTGATCTGTACACCCTGTAGATGTCTAATGAATCTTTCACTACTGAAATGCAATGACCTGTTTTCTGRGCTGCCCCTCAGGAATGGGGAGTTACTACTGCGGTTTCTTATTGTATCGATTCCTTTTTTAAGTTTATAATAAAAGCAGATTGGCAAAGAAAGAGGAGGAAAAAAAAGAAGCATGGAAGTTAATGCATCTGTCGTCCTTGTCGTGTGTGTCGTCAAAGGTGGGACATGTTGGAGAGCGAAAGCTGATTTTAAAAAGAGGCAGCAGAGAAAGCACAGAGCAGCGTGTCCTCTCGTTGCAGTAAACAAATTCAGAGGATGTTTGATCAATAATTCAAAGCGAAGTTGGAATCCTTGGATGGAGAGCAACCAGATTGCTCCACCACCCACCTCAGCTGGACTCGTCCCAGCAGACATTACTTTACATTTCATCAGCCGGCACTCGGGCCGTGCTGTGCCAGTGTCTCCGTGCTGAAAGCTTGTGAGCCTGTGTAAAGACACAGTTCAGACCTTTTGAAAGTGTGGGGGGGGGATGGTTTATTTTAAAAGATCTAACTAATAACATCTTACCTGTAAGCTTTTTTGAATGACCTGAAATAAAAGTGATGAGCTAACAGCTAGTCTGAGAGGAGCCAGAATGGATTGCTGCTGACAGCAGTTCAAACAAATGTTTTTATCACCATCATTTATTTATGTTGAGTTATGTGTTTATTTCAGAGTGCAAAGCAGATGCCAGCTGTAGCACTTCCTGGCAGGAATAACATATTGATTAACCGTGTAATGTGCAACTGATGGTATGTCGAAAAGTTTATAAAACACAACTATGGGGCGCCAAGTGTAAAATGAAATGTTAAAAAATTTTCTCTAACATATATTTCATTATGTAGCTCACCTTTTTGAGTGTTAAAAAACTTTCCACTAACATTTTTTAGATATTTAGCTATTTTTTACTAAACTTTAAATTCAAARGTTAAAAATATTTTTAATTATTAAATCCCAAATATAAGTGGTTAAATCTAAATGTAAAAGTTAAACTTTAAATGTTAAAGTTAAACGTTGACATTCACATTAAGGTATTTTGGAATGGAACACAGACTTTGCTGTTGGTGGTCTGCTCCTGTTATGATGTCATCATTCTGAGACAACAGCTCTGATGCAGCTGAAGCTTCCCTACAACACATCAGTCTTGCAGTTATGGGGTGTTGTCTGAGCATTAATAAATCCAGACTGCTGTCATTTAAACTTAAATCATAAAACTCGTGTGGCAGCTTGTGGCAGCAATGCCATCAATTTCACATTTGGTGATGCAGACTGCACAGGAAACTCTACAGCTAACTGTTGCTGCCATTTACAAACGTTTTGTAAAACAGACAGTGATGTAGAGGTTTATGATCACATGAATACGGTGTGCCAAACTCATTTTCACTGAGGGCCACATGAGCATCGTGGTGGTCCTCAAAGGGCCAGCTATTAATGTCCTGATGCATCTCAGTAATCCAGGTAAAAAATCAAAAAGAAAAAAATTGTGTAGGTCTTCTGGACGGGTTCTTCTCTAATGAAACGTTTCGTCTCTCCTCCAAGAGACTTCTTCAGTCTGAGAGTTTCAGGCAAAATTCAGGCTTTTAAGCACTGCCTCCATGTGACTGATACTCACATCACATGGCTATTGTTGACAACTAATTAACACCTATTGTTAACAGGGGGTGGAGTGATACTGGCAATAGCAGCGCTGTAGGAGGGGGACAGCTGAAAACGGAGGCCTCCACCTCTGTTTAATGATGGACGGTCTTTCTTCACAAAAATGGCTTCTTTCACTCCTCTCTCAAACCAACGTTCCTCTCTATCAAGAATGAGAACATCCTCATCTCTGAAAGAGTGACCGCTGGCCTGTAAATGAGTGAAAACTACAGAGTTCTGGCCATTAGATGTAGCTCGTCTGTGTTGGGACATTCTTTTGAACAGTGGCTGCTTTGTTTCCCCGATGTACAAACTTGACTAGACTATCATATGTTTAGACTGAAGAAGTCTGTTGGATGAGAGACGAAACATTTCATTAGAGAAGAACCCATCCAGAAGACCTGTACAACTTTTTTTTGGCCAGTTATTAACTTCAGCATTTCATCTTTAGCTCTTCATCTCATTGTTACAACTGAGCACCGCCAACAAACAATAACTGAGCTCTACATGGTATTTCCTGCATAGAAATAATACAGAAATACTATTAAAAGTAAAAGAGATTTACTCAGTGTTTTTTGGTGAGTAGCCGCRTTCTGTGTTTCAGTTTTGAATTTACAACTTGTAAGTGGGAAATTCCTACTTCACCTCCACTTTGTGGTGAGGTGCTATCATTTTGTGGGTAAAAAAATGGACACGCATTATGGGAGATCTAGTTTTGGTCAATGCTAGCTTTAAAGCAGAATGTGTTTATTTTCAGACATTACATCTTTAAAGCTCTTGTGACCACATGAAATGCCGTGGAGGACCACATTTAGCCTGCGGGCCATGAGTTTGACACGTGTTTTAGAGATTTGAGTTGCTTGAAGATCTACATTGGTCTCTTAGCCCTGCTCAGACAAGCTGATGACTCATCAATTTATTCAGAATTAAATTTGATTAAAAATGAATTTAAAAAGTGCCATCTACAAGTAGGGTATGGTTTAAAATCTCCTTTCAAAATCTTTGAACTGTCCTTTAATCTGCACGACTGGGGGCTCTTCTTCAGCTGCATCTTCTTTGTGTTCACATCTTCAAACGCAGCCCTGTTCAGCTGTCTTCCTCCATCCGTCTAACCCTTTTTGTCTCCCTCCATCCTCCTCAGACACACACACCCATCTCGCTGCTCTTTGAGCCTGCTGCCGTTACGCAACATGGCTTCACCGTGTGTTCATTACGTAACATCTCCTACTCCTCTGGAATACTGATGAGCAGACTGAAGCAATGATGGGAATATTTGAAAAAAATATATTTACATAAAACTAAATCAGCTCTTTGTCTCTGTGCATTCTCAGGGCTGTTGGAGACGAGGGCGTCATCAAACCGTGCTCTTTTGTTATCCGGTTGTTTCTTTGTCTGCAGCTGCTGCAGCTGCTGGATGACTCAAGGGTCAAAGCCGGAGTCCATCTGTCATTAAAATCCACTTTATTTCAGATGCATTTTACAAGACATAATTACTACAGCTGCATGTATCAGATACAAGATTACAAAAACATGTCGATATAAAAACAGAAACAAAGGGGAAAACACATTAAAATGTCTCCAAGAATACAGAAGTTCTTTATCTTGAAGTATTGTAGGTACAATAAACAGTAAACAAAGAGTCACTGATGCGAAGCACTTTAAATCAGTAGCAACATGCTTCATTTTGCTAATCTGCTGATTGCAAGTTTCATTCAGGAAAACGTAAGTCTGATGCATCTGGTTCTCTGACACATATTTTTATTTTTTTAATCMTCTGCAGTAATAAAATATTTAAAACAAAATAAACAATTCTGTTTTGAACAGTCGTTAGTAAAGGTGGCACGGGGCTAGTTTTTTTTCTTCACCTTTATTACCAAAACTATATTTAGCATCTGCAACTTGCTAAATATTATTTAACAATTTCCTCTATTTTAAGCTCATTTTTAAGGTGCTTCACATCAGACAAATCAAGTCTGCTACATATTCTTGAGATACTTTTCAAAATATAAATTAAAGGCTGTCTTTATTCAATATTATGCCAAATATTCTTTATGGG